CGTGTGGCCGACCTGTTCCACCTGCCTGCCTTAGAGGAGGCTGTGGTAGGCTTTCTGGTGGAGCATCTGTCTGAGCTGAGTCAGAGCCAGCAGGACGAAGCCCTGCAGCTTCCCTACCGCCTCCTCAGGGAGGTGCTAAAGAGCGACCGCCTCACCTCTCTGAGTGAGGAGGAGATATGGAAGGTACGTCACTGGTTACTGGTCCTTGTCCCAAAAGTATAAATGTATTTTTAATGTTGAGGATGTGATAATGATAGGTGTAGATTAGACTTGGGATTTAGGAATGACGTTTAATCTCTTGAAGTCTTTGAAACAGGAGTGTTGTTTATATTAAGGTGAAGTGATTAATCAAGTTGATAAGGCGCATTTTTCATAATCAACTTGGTATTATAACAACAAAAACCATGCTGCATAACATGAACCCTTCTGTCTCTCAAATATTGATATTAATGAGAATATGCAGAAGGAAGGACAGCTTCTGACTTTGTGTGCACGGCTGCAAAAGATTGTCAGTTCATGTGTGTGTGTGTGTGTGTGTGTGTGTGTGTGTGTGTGTGTGTGTGTGTGTGTGTGTGTGTGTGTGTGTGTGTGTGATGAACTGTCGGGATTGTGAAGTACGGTGGCAGTGCAGGAAGGGGACTTGCCATTTTGACTGCTCATTTGCACCAATCAGCCCCCACCCCACCAACTCTCCGTCCCCCCCACCTCTCCTTCTCTTCTCTGATTAGGCCCACCGCGGCTCCATCAGGGCCCCCAATCCCCCAGCTGTCACTCGGCCGCCCGTCTGATTGAAAACAATCAGGCCTCTGATGGCACAATTACCCTGACCCTTTAGCCAGCCGCCGCCGCCATAATCAGCCTCTGATTAGGCTGCTTTGGGCCTCCTTCACTTCGCTCAGAAGGTTAATTTGGGCATCAGACGGAAGCGAACGGCAAGCGAGGGCTGTCGTCCGAAAGAGTGGGGGCCGTGGAGGTGGTGGAGTGCACGTCAATACCAGAGCGACACAGCTCAGCCGTCAATCATCCTCACTTAGAGCTTGCTCAGAATCTCCACACTGTGGAAATCACGTTTTTCTGCCTTTGTTTTTTCCTCCATCTCCTTCTGGCAATCCTTTTTCTTTTTTTGTCTTCTCCGTGGCCCGCAACTCACCTCTCTCTCTTTCTCTCTCTCACACACACACGCACGCGCACGCACGCACACACACACACACACACACACACACACACACACACACACACACACACACACACACACACACACACACACACACACACACACTCATCCACTTCCTTTCTCAGTGTGAAGGGGAAGGAGGGAAAAGGAGTTGATTTATTCCATGCCCCGAGGAAGTTGTGTGATGCAGCGTGACCTTCACAGTCAGCTGCTGTAGAGCGCACACACTCGCACACTGTCACTTCAGAGCGATGAGAAGGAGAGAGGTGGGGGTGTGGAGGAGGAACAGAGAGAAGTGAGGAAGAGGCAGGAGAGTGGCGGAGATGCTACCAAAGACAGTAGCCTTACTTGCAAATTTGTTGCAAATCCACACCTTTCAGAACAAATTACAGGAGAAATGAAGTGGAAACAGCTTTGTTTGGAGCAGAGCACACAACAGACATCTGTGCAAATAACACATCAAGTCCTGTGTTACCACTCCAGATGTGTTATTGTGGATTGTTTTCTGATTTATTCTAAGTCAGTCTTGTTGTTTTATTTGACCATTTCAACCCAAACATGCGTTGATTCCTGTCTGAGGCTCTGATTGTAGCAAAGACCCACTGCTTCAATCTCCAGTCATCTCGGCCACAATCACACCGTATCGTGGCAAAATAACCTTCCACCTCCCTCAAGATCAATTAAAGCCTTTCCTGCTTCCCAGTTCACCTGCATTAAACAGAAGAGGCTGCCTGTGGATGTTTACAGTCCGTTATTGAATGCGGCTGAATAATGAACAGGTGTGTGTGTGTGTGTGTGTGTGTGTGTGTGTGTGTGTGTGTGTGTGTGTGTGTGTGTGTGTGTGTGTGTGTGTGTGTGTGTGGCTACAGTGCTGGATTGCCCCAGTCACACCGATTAGCGTTCTCTCAGGTGTTTCCGTAGCAGCACAATGCTGATTTATGCTCAGATTTAAATGCATTTTTGTTTATTTATGAATTATTTGTTGAACCTGGACTCTTCGTACGGATTTCGTGAAGGTTGGAAAGACTTCTCTCTTTTTGTGTCTAGTTGGTTGTTCTGTGGCTGGAACACGACTGCCGGTACCAGTACACCGAGGATCTCCTGCAGCACGTCCGCTACGGCCTGATGGATGTTCCCACCTTACACCACCTTGCCCACAGCCACCCTCTGGTCCAGTCCAGCCCTACTGCTGCCGCCCTGGTGGATGAAGCGCTGGACTACCACCACTCCACTTTTGCTCAGCCCCTCCACCAGTCGGCCGGCACCAGGCCTCGCTTCCAGTCCCTCACCCTCTACATACTCGGGGGGCGGAAACGGGAGGTGAGCCGAGTCAAGGAGCTGCGCTACTTCAACCCCTCAGCACAAGAGCATGTACGCGTGGCAGGTGGGTCGAACTGGAGTGAGCTGGCGCCTATGCTCACAGGCCGCAGCCATCACTGTGTTGCTGTGATGGGATACTTCCTATTTGTAGTTGGTGGTGAGGCGGAGCACGCCACTGGGAGGACGTGTGCAGTGAGGACTGCATGTAGGTATGACCCAAGGGACAACCGGTGGATTGAGATAGCCCCCATGAAGGCCTGCAGAGAACACTTTGTCTTAGGAGTGTTGGGTCAGTACCTGTATGCAGTGGGCGGTAGGAATGAGCTGAGGCAAGTGCTGCCCTCTGTGGAGCGCTACTGCCCCAAAAGGAACAAATGGACATTTGTCCAACCCTTCGACCGCTCACTGTCCTGCCACGCCGGCTGTGTGGCCGATAACCTGCTCTGGGTTTCAGGTACCATCTCGAACGCTTGTATGTTTGTTCTGCTGTCTGCCACAGAAAAAGCTCAGCATGATGCTTTTTTACAGGTGGAGTTACAAATACTGCGCAGTACCAAAACCGGCTGATGGTGTACAACCCAGACCAGGTAACCATGGAAACATTCATTCAGTTTACTTACACAGCGCCACATCATGACAAGAGTCGTCTCAAGGCCTTTCACAAAGTAAAACATTCCAGTAGAGTTTAGTTCTTTATGCCAGTTAGTTAAAAGTTTCCTCATTAAAAATGGGGCGACGGTGGCACAGGAGTTAAGTGCTCGCCCCGTAATCGGAAGGTTGCAGGTTCAAGCCCCGCTCAGTCTGTCGCTGCCATTGTGTCCTTGGGCAAGACACTTAACCCACGTTGCCTGCTGCTGGTGGTGGTCGGAGAGACCGGTGGGGTCAGTGCTCGGCAGCCTCGCCTCTGTCAGTGCGCCCCAGGGCAGCTGTGGCTACATCGTAGCTCATCCCCACCAGCGTGTGAATGTGTGTGTGAATGGGTGAATGACTGATTGTGTTGTAAAGTGCCTTGGGGGGTTCCAGGACTCTAGAAGGCGCTATATCAAATACAGACCATTTACCATTTACCATTAAGGAACAGAGCAGATTACATCGAGTCACTGACATGTAGTGTCAGAGTCTTTACAGCGATCCCCATACTAAGCAAGCATCTAGCGACAGTGGAGAGGAAAACTCCCCTTTAACAGGAAGAAACCTCCAGAGGATCCTGGCTCAGTATAAGCAGCCATCCGCCACGACCCACTGGGGTTGTTGGCATTAGACTTGTGTTCAGTCTGGTGCCACAGAATGATGGAGACATGCCAGGGTTTCATTGTCAAACTGCCTTATTCTCATCAAGCCATTTTGGCATTTTAAGACAATTTTCATGTTTATCAACAGAACGGATTCAAAACAAATAACTGAAATTTAAAATGTTTAAACCTTAGACACAAAAAAGGTGTTTGGGGGTCTCTAAGCACGCAAACACCGGTAGGACTGTTGGTATGTTTTAATTAAAAAAAGAAAAATAATCACAGATATCTCTGAAACATCATGACACCAACAAAGGTAACAAGGAGAAGAAAAGTAGCTGTGAGTTTAGCGAGATTCACAGAATGAAAGAAGGAACATTAAATGTGAAGAAAACCACTGTGAATCAGAAAATATATGGAACAAGGCAGCTACACTGGAGGAGAAGAGATTCTGCTGTGACGTTATACATACACTGAGCTTCTGATCTGACCATGGTCTTGAGTCGGATAAGGGTAGAATACCTTCTCCAGGTCAGGAACAAGGTCCTGCCCCAAGTGGAGGAGTTTTAAGCATCTCAGGGTCTTGTTCATGAGTGAGGGAAAGATGGAGGATGAGATCGATAAGCAGACTGGTGCTGTGTGTGCAGTGATGCAGGTGTTGTACCGGTCTGTCGTGGTGAAGAGAGAGCTTTGCCTTGCGGTGTTCAGATTGGTCGATCTACGTCATACCCTCACCTGTGGTCACGAGCTTCGGGTGGTGACCGAAAGAATGCGGTTGTGGATACAAGCGGCCAAAATGAGCTTTCTCTCATGGAAAATGAAGGGAATGGTTCCAGATGACAATTTTACTATTCTTATTCAAAATTGTGATGCATTTCTAAAAAAAGCGTTCGAAACGGCATCAACACAACGAGGCCCTGGTGCTCGTGAGAAAACCGAGAACTCTTGCAAACATTTGAAGACGCTTTAGAAACGTTGCCATGAATATCACTTTCAGCCTTGTGAGACACTAGTTTAGTGTTTGGTGTGTGTGTGTTAATAGTTAGCGAGACAGCAAACCGATGTCAGTGTGTTTACAGATGTTCTCACCACATAGAGATTGGTCAGTCAGTGGCGTTTTAGAAAATGTAGATTCACAGCTCTAGCACCTGCAGTGCTGGATTACTGGTGTTCTTTTGTTTTAAAGTACTAAATAAAAACACATCAGAGCATACGCAGTGTACCTTTCTGCTGCTTCAGTGCACATGACGTCTATTTTAAACTAAAACCACTTGAATGTAGTTGGCAGCTGTTTATATAGGCGGCTGTTTTAGGGCGCTGGATTGTGGTGATGTTAGCGTATAGCATGATGGTATGTGGGGTGTATCTCTAAGAGATGCACATCCATATGGGCCTGTGCTTGTGCACGTCTGCGTGCAAGCGAGGGAGTGAAGGAGCGAGTTAGAGGAGGAGGCAGAGTCTCATTTGTATTCATCATGAATCTACATTCACCTGCCAGAGCAGCAGCAACCCCCCCACCCACTCTACCCTCAACAGATGGCCACCCGTCAGCTCCCAGCAGACACACGCACGTGCGCGCGCACACACACACACACACACACACACACACTCATTCTCTCCCTCAATCAAGTGTACACACACTCAGCCTGGCACAAAATAAGCTTCCACACACTTAGTGAGATGAGCAGGGATCCTCGGTGTAAAGTGGAGTGGCTGAAACATATGATTAGAAATAGGGAGGGAAGTCATTAGTACCAACCAGAGCTCCAGTGTCACGTTATTTATCCAGCACTGAGCATACATCAATTACCCATGCATGGATATGCTTAAATATTAATCTCCCTATTCATTCCTGTTCTCTTCCACCTTCTCTGTTTCACCCTCCCTCCCTCTGTGCACACTTCTTTCTTCTTTCTTCAAACCTCCCTTCCTCTCCACCGCCTCCTCATCAGGATCAGTGGCTGGCCCGCAGTCCTATGCTGCAGAGGCGAGTGTACCACGTCATGGCGGCGGTGAGGAGGCAGCTCTATGTGCTGGGTGGAAACGACCTGGATTACAACAACGACCGCGTCCTGGTCCGGCACATCGACTCCTACAACATGGACCTAGATCAGTGGACCCGCTGCTCCTTCAGCCTCCTCACAGGTGGGCTAAGTGATGAAACCGCCATGGGGATAATCACTCAGCTGACTGTAAACATCTAATCAGACAGCATGACAGAGCTGTTTGTTGGTAAACAAAAACCATTCAGGTGAAGCTGTTCTTTGATGCCACTCGCTCTCTGACTTACGTGGGAGAATACCGACTAAATATCAGCATTTATCCTGTCAAGAATCTAACAAACTCATTATTAGAGAATTTCATTTAAATTCATGCGGAGGTTCCTGAGACATTTAGCTGGCAGAACAACATAATCTAAATAAACTTTCCACATCAGATCCTCAGGAGATGCAGAAGCCTTTATGGAACAGTAAACATTATGAAAAGGATGTGTGTGTTAGCATGTGATTACAGGCTTTACTGTAACCATGACCTCGCCGTTTCTTCCGTTTTCTTCTGTTTGACTTTGCTGGTTTATTCTGGGATCTTTTGCCTTCATGCTATCTCCAGAAGTTTAAAGACAAAAGTCACAGGAAAGAGGCCAGAGGCTCAGACTTCACAAACACCTGTGTCCCATCTACATCTCCCTGCTTGTGCCTCTGGGGGTGGGGGTATGGAAGAGAGGAAAAGCGATCCAAATTCTTTTTTGTCTCCGTTCAGGTCAAAACGAGTCTGGAGTGGCCGTTCATGACGACAGGATCTATGTGGTCGGAGGATACTCCATCTGGACCAACGAGCCTCTGGCGTGCATCCAGGTAAGAAGGCTGCTGTTGGAGCGAAGCTACAGCTGTGCTGTTCTCTTCATGCCCGCTCATGCAATCCACAATCTAAAGGATTATTAACACCTCAAATCTAACATGTTCAGCCTGCATGGATCTCTGTCCTGCAATTTCAGTTCAGAATGATTTTGTAAGAAACTGAACTAGAAATTACAAGTTTTTACTTGTATTGAATACATTTAGCAACCAAAACTGTTTAGAAACAAATATTTACAGTGAGTGTCAGCTCAGACAGTAACGATTAAACTTCTTTAGGCGCAGCGTGCACAGCCGTGGCCACGGGCTTCCTGCACTATAGCAGTTTATTGCTGAAATAAACCAAGTTTTTGAGCTTTTAGGATCTCACTAATCCCAAATATCTTGGTGAAATGTAAAGTTAAAAAGAAGATTTAATGATGTACGCTCTGGACAGGTTGCCAGTCCATCGCAGTAATTGGTAAATAATGACATTTTTTTAATTTTATCTTAGATGCCACAAACTTGTTAGCAAGTCTCAGTTTTATGTTTAAAGGGAAATAAATGACCTTTTTTGAATTAGTGGAAACTTTTCACAAATACTTGTCTTTGACAGGCCGACAACATAAACAATCTAAAAATTGCGTCTTTTAAAACAAATTTAGACAATTAATAATCAGCGTGAAGATAAAAACCCAACACGAGTCATTTAATCTGACAGAAACATGCGTGAATGGCTCCACTGGCCATCGGCCTAACATAAAAATCACAAACAAATCAAACTTCCTGTAGCCTTGTCAGGGTCAAAGGTCATTTGAGAAACACAGAAACATGTTTTATTAAAGGCCACGTTTGTGTCGCTGACTTTGCTCCTCCAGGTTCTGGATCTGAGCACAGAAGGGAAGGAGGAGGTTTTCTACGGGCCAACACTGCCTTTTGCTTCCAACGGGATAGCTACCTGTTTCCTCCCCGCTCCTCACTTCACCTGTCCAAACCTACAGACTCTACAAGTCCCCCACCACAGGATCGGTGCCGTGTGACCCATACACACCCAGCTAAACTCTGGACAGTACTGTAATAGAAGTAAACATGCTGGAACCCGAGTGCTCGCTCATACAGATGTTCTCTGGCCTTCAGATGTATCCTGAAGACTCCAGATTTCCAAGAGCCATGCTAATCTAGATGCTACAATGAACAAGCTGGCACAGAGTATGTGCTGTAATCTCCTGAAAACACGGTTACATTCTGGGATGTTACGCTGAGTAAAGTTACTCCAGAACCCGGAAGTGATCGGTACTGCTCTGCTCTACTAACCATCTGCATTTAAACTGTCGTCATAGGATTTTTCTACAGAAACACACCCCTACACAAGCTTATAGCTATTTTCACCTCATTGGCCTAATTTCTTTCTCCTGAAAATTTTAACCGTATTTTTTTTTTTTGGTAAAAACACAATTTTATTTTATTTTTATTTAAAACATAAGACTTCGATTTGACGATTCTCCTGCAAAAAAAGCAGTGACATGATGTGTGTGTGTGATTCTTTTATGTTCTGCCCAGGACCTGAAGACTGTTTAAGTTCAAATGTCTGGTCAGTAAAAATCAAGCATTGGTTTGTTGAATATGCTCCAACATACGTATGATATTATTGTGTTGACTTTAAAGAGATGCTTTGACCACGAGAGGGAAAAAGATGCCTGCACTTCCCTCTGCTACTCGTCTGCAAGATTATATTATGGAAAGTTTGCAGATTTAAGACCCTACATAAATAAAATGTTGCAATGCGTTTGCATTAGTAAAATGAAAATGTCAAAGATTGTCTTTTAGCAGCCACAGATACTCCCTCAGTTCTGCACACGCTGTCCATTCACGTCTGGACTTAAGGAAAGAGCAGATGCTTTGCAGCCAGATGAGGCTGGAAAATGACAGAAAATGGGACTTGGTGATTGTGAGAGACTTCATGCGATTATGCGCAACCAAAGATGGATTGCACAAGATTGTTGCAACTTACAAGTTCAAGAAATAGAATTGGAACAAAATGTACTCCCTCCTGCCCCTTTACCCCTTTTCTTGGTGTTAAACTATTTGGGCTCCTCGACGCGTGTCGTCTCGTCTGTAAATCAGCTACAACCGGGCTGATGCTGTAGGACCAAACGGCATGCTGATGCTTCACTTCCAACACAACAGACCCCAAATGAAAAGAAAATTAGGCAAGGGAACAGATTAGCATTTATTTTCATATGATGCAAGTCAAAACGTAAAGGTGCATTTTTGTTACGATATGTACAACACATACAGACTAATGACTACAGGCTTGTCCAAGAACTGAAATGACCCTTTTAAAGTTCAAAGAAATAATGACAATCATATTCAATGAGGCTAAATTCACAAATGGCCTCCATTAACAGAAATGGAGTTTACATCTGCCAGGACTGATAGGCTAACAGCCAGTTCAAGAACATAGCCCAAAGTGTAGATGTGGTTAAAAAAAAACTGCTCAAATCTTTAAAATTCTCCAACAATTCTTATTTTTTCTAAACTTTCTACTAAAATATCGTTATAATGTAACTGACTAGCTGTTAGCTCCTAAGTCCTGTTGGGTGTTGACTATTTCTCTGAGCAGAGGCTGTTCAGATAACCATCCACATCAAATAAGATTGTTTAGATCTTTTACACAGAGGCACGTCAAAATGTTAGAAGAGTCCGTTTAAATCTGTCTCACACACACACACACACACACACACACACACACACACACACACACACACACACACACACACACACTCAGAGAAACTTCTTAGTCGCCCTCCAGGCTGGTTATCTCCGCTTGCCCACCTTCTCCGAGCAGACCCAGCAGCTTCATGTATGCGCTCCTGTCACACACAGATGTGTCATACTCAGTATTCTAGTCTCCCACCTGACACCTGCTTATTGTCTAGACAACATAAAAACAGTGGAAGGTGGTGGAAGTTGTCTGGATGTGATTCATGAGCCTGCTCACCTCAGGGTGATGTTCTTGCCCAGTCCTCTCTTGTGTTCTGCGTTTCTCAGACTAAGAGACAGGCTGGGTATAAGAGCTTCAACCACAGTGGGATCTAAGATGGCCACCGTCTCCAGGACACCGTAAACCTGCCTGTCGTACACGCCTTCATTCTCCTCCACAAATGACCTAAAATAACACCACGAGAAATCTCTGAATGTGACAAACAGGATTTAAGGTCAACTAGTGTGTTTGGAGTTTATAAAACAGCACCAATCTGCATACGCAGACATTTACTGTTCCAAGTTCTTGGTGGTTACCTCAGGGCACTAATCATCTGCATGCAGGGTCCTCCTGCTGCTGCAGCAGCACACCGCTCCACCACCAGCTGTAATGCATCTGTGCTCGTCTTCCTCACTGGAGAAACGGAAGCATTAACAAGCACGTTTGCAGAAAAGATGGATAAATTCAGTTGTTTAAAAGTCTCTTGTACCTTGTGGCTCATTGACCAGCATCAAACAGCGCAGGAGAGAGGGAAGAGGGAGGGTGAGGAGGGAAACATCTGTGTCACCGTTTCTTCTCAGGAGCTCCAACAGGAACATCAGGACCGATGAGAGGCGAGGAGGAGGAGCACGGCTTTTAAACTGGAGGAAGCGCTCACTGTGATGTAACAAAAGGCCGTGTTACCTTCAGGTTTGGGAAGAATTTTATTTATGAGGAGATTCACTGAAAAGCTACAAGACAGCATGAACATGGCTTGGTTAAAGTTTTGAGTTATTTTAAAATCTTAAGAATGACTGATCACCAGTTTTAACAGATATTAAAACCTACCAAAGCACCTCCAGGATGGTCCTCCTCAGCGACGCTCCCTGAGGGGTTGGAGCGGCCTCACAGGCACCAAGAAGTACCGGGTGGTTAGCAACAACGCCCATAGAAGGGGCTGCGGGGAGGAAATGGTCCAGATATCTGTGGATTACAGAGCAAAGCTGCTGCTTGAGGCAAGAGCTCTGCAGCTGAGACACACTGGAGGCCACGGACAGACCCTGGAACAGAATAAACCATTAACAGAATACTGAAACTTCCTGTGGTTCTCTTTGCAGTAGAAGAACTGTGTGCTGAACGGTTCAAACGTTGTGTTTGTGCCCACCTGAAGGAAGAGAGGCAGGCTGTCCCTCAAAGCTCTGTCCTGCTGTGGGAGATGGTGGGGAAGCAGCAGTCCGTCTACGAGCCGAAACAGCAGCTGCTGAGCTTTGGGAAGTGGCCAGCAGGGGGCTCCAGTGTTTCACTACGCAGCCTGAATAACAGAAACACAACCTTGATGAGGACTACTCCAGCCTGCCCTTAACAAAAAGCCTGGTTTACGACACATACCCACAATCCAGTACGCCAGCTGGATTCCCTCCTGGTTCCTGCTAACCATGTATGGTTTGATGTGCTTCAGGATGTCCCCGATGTAGTCCAGGGCTCTGGTCACCATGGCCGACCGCTCGGACAAGAGCTGCAGTTGACTGTACACGGTGCCTACAGCCTGAGGAGAGCAGGTCAGGGAGGACGTTACCAGAAACCTGCTGCAGGACTGTGATGTAATCATGCTGCATTAAAGACTAATGCAAAGGCTCACGGATGTGTGTTTGTGTTGAGTTTAGTACCGGAGAGAAGACCCGTCACAGAGACACTAAACTTTAGTTATTACCTTAACAAAGGTCTCAAGAGCTGAAGTGGGCTCCGGTCTAGCTGCTGTGGGAGGAAGTCCGGCTCTTTGCAGAAGAGCGTCCACCTCGGGAAGCCTCAGCACGAGCCGGGTCAGCTCACTGAGCTGCTCTGCCAGAGCCCGGCCTGAAACACAAACACAGATTATTAAGATCTAATCCAATCCTTTACACGTGCCACCAGCTGGAACGCGACATGAAACTCAGAGATGCACGGATCTGGAGGTGTAGGTGCGTGTACCTGTTCTGCTGTCGGTCCCGTCCTGGTTCTTGTGAAGGTGCTGCTGCAGGACACATCTGAACCAGGATCTCACAGAGAGGCTCTGAGCAGAAGCAGAACTCAGTGAAGACAACAGATCACTGAAACGGAGGCAAAGGACAGCAAGACTTAGGCTTATTGATGATAAACACATTATGCAGCCAGCAAGAGCGGAGACCCGAAACCCCACCTGTTCTGGAGCATGTGGGGGAGGTAGCGAGTCACAAGAATCGGCTGAACCATGTCGTCCCAGCCAAAGCACTGCATGATGGACTGGACTGGGTGGGGTTGAAGGTCCTGGGGGGCAGAACTGGGGAGATCGAAGGCCAGCAAGGTGAAACCTGTGAATGAAACGCAATGAGTGCTTGAATTATTAATTACAACGGTTTGTTGTGTATGTCCAAATGTGGAGTTCTGAGCGATGTTCTGTAACAGAACCTGTTCTAGTACTCAGAACCTCATTCTGGTTCTGAATGTTCAGTGGCTCTCCCCCCCCCCACCTCCACTAGACGTCTGGTGTTCCTCCCGGGTGGAGTTACTGACCTGCAGCAGCATCTGCCAGCTGTGCTGGAGGTGTCTGGGAGAGGCGCAGGCTGTGCAGGAAGGGGAAGAAGTGAGCCCACAGTGCAGCGGCCACCACTAGGTGGCGCTCTTTAATCACATTGGCTGTGGTGGGCGCCCAGACCGGGGCGGGCGCTGACTGGACGCTGCGTTGATGGACCCGTCTGGAAGGACAGACACATTCACAGAACAGCACAACGAATCTAGCTAATCCAG